AGTTGAAGATTTAGGATGTCGAATATGCTTTATCAACAATAATTAATTCACATTTTAACCTATAATAGGCAATTTGATGCACGTCTACTAATTGAATAATATAAGTAAATAGTTCGTTAAATCTAAAGATATTAATGTAAATGAAAGTGATAGTGATTTTGGTGAGTTATTTCCATAATAATTTCTGAAATAAAAATAATTATTAGTTAGTAAACATGGTAATAGCATAAATTTAATCAGAAAAACAGAAGTTGACCAATTTATAGTTGAGTAATCTATTCAATTTGATTCATATTATATTTTTGGGTAGATGAGTGATGATGGAGAGTATTTGATTACTTGGGATTCTCAATCAAATTAAATTAAAATCAGGAAATATGCAGAATAATGAGAGTATATATTATTTGGATATATATTTAAATAAATTTTAGTTTGTTATAATCCTCTCAAGTTTTAAAACAACAAATGGCATATGAAGAAATATATTGTATTTGCCCTTAATCTTTAATTTAAATCAATTATGAAATTTACATAATATTCCACTTATTCAAAAAATGTAAAGTCATTTTAATTATATTATGGAATTTAAAACAAATTAACATCATGATAATTTTTTGAATTTGTGAAGGTCATTAGAATAATCATTGTGTGTTTCTTATGTACTTCCATTAAGAATGATCTGTATTTTTGGATCAAACATAACCTTTCCTAATGATAGATTTAAACTTATAAATACATTATAAAATATCTATTATTAATAATATTATATTTCGCTAAATATACATCGCTTTAATCCCAATTTAGGTCAAATTTATTTTTATTAAGAAAAAATATTTTTGAAGAGCAATTTATTTTTGCAAAGATACACATAAATTATTCGAAAATCTGAGCAGTTGATCCATCATCAGGCTCTTAAAATAAAATTTTGATTTTGAAAAGTCACTCTAGGTGGGAGTTTAAATTTTAAATTAATTTTAAGTTTAAAATGTTAAAAGAATTAATGTTTTCTCTGATGATTATGATTTGATGTGTCACAAGTGCTTGATAATTTTGAACATTAAGAAGGATTCTTGGTTTATAATTATACCACTTTCATATATTCGAATTTTATTCTGTGTTAGCCTCAGTAGGAAACTAACTGATCGTTAATCAAGTATCGTGAAATTTTGCTTCCATAAAAACTCCAACGATTCTTAATTGATCAGATCATAAACTGTAGAACCCTGTGTTTATATTATTATTCATTGCACTTATTGATTAAAAAATAATAATAATAAATAATTTCGCACTCAAATAAGAAAATTGTCATAAATTTGACAGTTAACTCTGTAAATATGCATTCTCACCCAATCCCAATTCTTGTGTGGCCAAATAAAAGTATTTAGCTTCTGATGTTCTTCGTAATTCAAATAAGGAATCAGCTGATTATTGATTATTTCTAGATTAATTTACCTTTTAATTTAAAACTAAGCCCGTTAGGCGATATTTTAAGGGTTTGTTCGAAACTTTAGTGTGCATCCTGATATTGTTTCAATCGATATAATGCAATACCTAAATATTAATATTCAGCAATTAATTACCCTTATTATTCCATGCAGAATGATATTTTGGATTAATAGATATTGCTTAATTGTAATTATTAATTGCTTCTTTATAATTTTTCAAATTTGTTAATGCATTGCCTAAATAGCAATATTTAACAAATAATTACCCTTGCTATACCATGCGTGAACATATTTTGGATCAATAGATATTGCTTCATCGTAACAATTAATTGCTTCTTGATATTATTTCAAATTTGATAATGTCTTACCTTAATATTTATATTTAAAAATTTTTACCCTTATTATACCAAGCCTCAACTTATTAAGAGTTAATAATTATTGCTTCATTGTAGCATTCAATTGCTTCTGAATATTATATCAAGTTTGCTAATATATTACCTTAATATTTAAATTAAACTATTAATTACCCTTGCTATACCATGCATCAAAAAATTAAGGGTTAATAACTATTGCTTCACTATAACATTCAATTGCTTCTTAATATTATTTCAAATTTGCTAATATCTTACCTTAATATTGATATTTAACAAATGTTTACCTTTATTATACCATGCATCAACCTATTAAGGGTTAATAATTATTGCTTAATTATACGATTGAATTGCTTCTTGATTTTTATTCAAAATGTATAATGCATTACCTAAAAATTAATTGTTAACAAATTAATTACCCTTGCTATTCCATGCAGAATGA